ACTAGGAGAAATTAATCAGGAAATGTGAGAACTAAGAACTGCTGTGCTACAAAATAGAGCTACTATAGACTATCTGCTGTTAAAAAATCACATGGGATGTAATCAATTTCCAGGAATGTGTTGTTTTAATTTGTCTGATTTTTCACATGCTATAGACCAACAGATTAATGATTTACAAAAGGAAATTAATAAGATGTCTGAATTTTCTATACCTTGGCCAAAATGGCTCCAATGGCTTACTCCATTCTTGGGCCCAATATTGATTGGCATACTTCTTCTTATGGGAGCTCCAATAGTTATGAGCTGTATTAAAATTTTGATTAAATAATACTGTGGCCTCTGTGACCACTTCCATCTTACTTTTAAACAACAAAAAAGGAGGAGATGTAGGAAACTAGGAGGTTAGACCCTAGGGTGAGATGAGCCTAAAACCTTTAAGTCCAGGCTGCATTCCATGCTAAAGGGAGGGGCACTGAAAACGGTGGCTCTGATAATCCCTGTCTTGCAGAACACTGTGAGGCTGCCAGGACAAAGCAGCCTGGCCTTAAGTGCAGGCTCACTGCTCTGTGGGAAAGTGTCTTGGTCAACAACCCTTAGCTCATCTCCTTGTCCTGAAAAAATAACTCAGCTATCCTTAGCTAAGAGATAAGGACAAGTCAAAAGTTCACTCCTGAGCTAAAAGCTAAAAGTTTACCATGCTTTTAACTCTAAGACAGAAAACAGGTCCAAGACTCTGTCACCAATCAAGTCTCTCTGCCCCGAAGCCAGTAGGTCCCCCACTGAGCAATGCAAACACAAGTCCCGAGAGACTCATCTTTGCAAAATGGGCTGATAATTTTCATATCTCATGAAGTAATTAGTCAATCACGTTGTGGAGACCAATGTGTGAGTTCTCTCATCAGACACAAGCTATAAATCCCTTCCCCCAGTAATAATTTCCTGTTAACTAATCTTTAGAATACCTAGTGTTCTTTTGAAATGGGATGCTGTGTTGTGGACACAGGTGCAATCTATGTCTTGATTATTGCAGTTTCCTGTTACCATCAGTTGATCTGCAGAGGAGCCGCCTCCATATTGTGGCCAGTGAGAAGGGCTATGGACTTTTACTTTCAATGTTTCCTACCACACAGGACCCTCCCCGTAGTCCCCTGGTTGTGCAGTGTTCCTGGTAAGTGGGAGCTTGTCCTAGATTCAGTCAGGCATGACAGGGATGGCTTACCATGTCCACCACAGCAGGCAGGTGCTGACCAAAGATAACACATAAACAGGATGTAATCAGCACAGCCCCAGTTCACAGTCTGCAAAGGTTTCTGTTTGCTGACCACATAGCCTCTCCTTACCCGAACAAGGCAAGGGCAAGGGTAACAGAAATTCTCAGATGTATTTCCAGGTTTAGCAGAGCCCTCACAAAGGTCCAATGAACCCCCTTATGCACTAACATCTTCATCAAAAGTTCTTTGGGTTACAGTCACCCCGGTGTGCACAGGTCTCTGGAACTCAGTCATCTGCTGAAGCTGCAGTGTGTCCCCTGTGACCAGGACCTCTCCATGTCACAAGCTGCTCTTCAGAGAGCACCACTGCCTCACACAGTTGAAAACTGCAAGGAAGATGCATGTGAAATATTCTTTATATGATTATATAACTGTATTAATTCAACTGTGAACAAAAAACATAGCCACTTTTGAAACAGATGTATCTTTGCTCTGGAAATTGTTATTGAGTACGTTAAAGCTGTAATGAAATGTTTCTTCTAAAAAATAAAGAAAAAATCCCCCAAATATATATGCTTTCTCTACCTTAAAAATATTCATTATATGAGAAAAAGATGGAGGAAAATGATAACTGTGATGACTGTGGGCATGTTAATTATGTGAGTGGATAAAGGGAGGAGCCCAGAATTTTCCTCTCTATTATCAGCCATCTAGGGAAAGGAATTCAACTAATTTCAAGCCAGTCAATGCTCTGAGTATAGACAACACCAGGCTCAAAATGTTAAGTCAGGAGGATGGGGCACCCAGAATTTGGGGTGAGAATGTGGGCAATGCCCTTGGGGATGGGGTCAGGACATTTCTCAAAGGACAGGAGTCCACAGAGACATCCACATGTGCACCCCTTTTCCCCCCAAAGACTCTACAGTGGTCAGGTCCAGCCCAGAAATCTTGGGGGCAAATCTTGGCACCTGCCCCCAGTGAAGATTCTCCCTGAAGTTGTGGATGGAGTCTGCCCATTTTTTATGCCCAATCTCTTCATTCTGTCTTCTGTTCCCTTCACTGTGTGGGCTGGGGCAGACAGGCAGCCAGAGCACTAGGTGGCCGTGGTAGGGCCTTTACTGGAAAGCCTGTGACATGGGGTCCTTGGATTTGCTTTCTTGGTTAGATGGAGGCCTGCTGTTCCAAGGGATGTTGGTGCCAAGTGCAGGAGAGTTGTTATTTCTGAAACCACATAAAGATAAAAAAAAAAACCTCTCTCCATTTGGAGAAATAAATTTCATTATGCAACACTATATTGGCAGGTTAAAGAGGGCAGAGATGTAAATGTACATTAAAATACGAATGTTTCCCAAAGAGATAAAACAAATTCTACTTAAAGCATGAAGATTTACAAATGTACACCTGTACAGCCAAGGATAGTGTCAGTTCTAAACTATCAAAGCTTGTAAGTTTACACTTTGAAAGTGTTTAAATGTTTAGGACTGTGGGCCTTTTAAAGTTGTACTGTTTTATATTGCAGTACGAGTATTAACATGAGATCTTGGGGATAAGAAATTGAAAGGTGGTGAGTGAAAGTTGACAATGGGTAGATTGTGCTGGAGAGCTTCAGCTGTGAGCTTGACACATCTAGTTGGAGGCAACCTCAATTGAGAAATCGCCCATTGGATTGGCCTGTGGCCCTGTCTGTGAGAAATTTTCTTGATTATTGAGTGATATGGCAGGGCCCAGCCCAATGTTGGTGGTGCCACACTTGGGCAGGTGCTCCTGGGTTATAGAAGAAAGCAGGCTGTGCACAGGCCAGGGGAAAAAACTAGTAAGCAGAGTACCTCCACAGTCTGTGCTCTAGGTTCCTTCCCAGAATTCCTGCCTTGGCTTCCCTTGATGATTGACTCTGCGCTTTTAACCAAATAACCATTCTCTCAAAGTTGGTTTTGGTAAATGTTCTATCACAGAAATAGAAAACTAACTAGGACAGTGCCCAAGTTTAAGGCCCCAACTCTGACACTTTTGCTCCTGAAATACTTCGCACTGGAGGACACTGGAGAATCACAACCTTTTCTGATTACCCATTGGATTCTGGGAAAAAGTATCAATCTACTCCATAGGTCCCTAACACATCCCTTCAGATTTTATGGGCCCCTAATCTTCTGTCCACATGTAAGAGAGGGAGTAGGTCATAACTATATAGGAGGGAAATGTGTGTGTGCACATATGTGCATATTTCTCCATAGGCAAACATTCAAGTCTGCATGTCTCTCCATTAGTGCCAGTGTGTGTATGTCCGATGGTGTGTTCCCCACACTGTCTGTCCTGAATGTCTATATGTTCTCATGAGTGATTCTGTCTCTTTATGCTGTGTGTGACTTTGACAGAACCTATGTGACCACTACCATGAATGTGCCTGCCAAGGATTCTGTCAGTCAAAGGAGTCAACTTGTGCTGACTCTAGAGTACAAGGGAACACTCTCTAAAACATGGAATGCTTCAAGACTTTGGACGACATCATTGCTCAGAAGCTATGCTAATCTTCTTCGTATTGTTCCAATTTTATTATATGTGCTGCCGAAGCAAGCCCTAATCACGTTGATTTTTACACTTACAATGCAGATATGTATGAAAATCACCAAATTGCATGACTCTAAATATACTTTTACTTACCAACATGTCTAGTAGTTGATTTGCATTTGAATTTTCTTCTTTGAACATTCATATTTGTGGGTGACCGAGGAAGAGACGGTGAGTTGTAGAACACTTGCCTAACATACCTGAGATTCTAATTTTAAAGCTACAAAATCCTTGTGGTGGTGGGTACCTGCCACCAGCAACGGTTTTCTCAGATGACAGTAATGGGCTGTGTTTTGCCTTAGTGTATATCACTGTGTCCAATGAGAAGGACTAAATCTTGTGAGAGTGTCTTTGCATTTTCATATCTGTGACTGTTCCAGAAAAACAAATGCTCACCGACTATTTTTTCCAATGTTGTCTCACTGGCTTGTAATTTGCCAAGTTGTCTAAGCTGGCTGAACAGTGAGCTCTTTTTAGCTCATTGTTTCATCTGACAAATTAACAGATTAATCATGTTATATAGCCATCCATCTTTGGTCCATGCATCATCTGTTCATTTATCACTCCATCCATCATCCACTATCCTTCCATTGACTCACCCATCCACCTTCCATCCATCCTTACATTCATTCACCTACCCATCTTCCATCCACCCTCCATT